CTAAATTGTAAAAAAAAATAAACCAAACTAGAATAGGTATTGAAACACTATAGCTGATTTATTAAATAATTAATATTTTTCAAGTACATTTTTATTAAAATTAATTTTGACCTTCCTAATCTTAAGCTTTTTGTTAACTTTCATGTCACTTATCAAACCTACTTATATTGTACAAAACATGTATAGATTGTAGTTTTATTTGAATAAAATAAAAAATAATGTCAATATAAAATATGTATATAAATTTAGATTTAATGGAAATATCCATTGTTACTATCTCATTATGTAATATGAATTACAAATAAGTTGCCTTTGGAAAATTATCACATTTCTCCACACCTAAATATAAATATTCTGATTTCTGAACCAACCTGAATCCAATTAATTAATTTTAAAATTAGCTGAGTACCTACTGTTTCCTCAATAAATTTATATTATATTTTCGATTTCAAATCTACAGTGTAATATCTAATCAATATAAATTAAATTAAATAATATTGAAACTGTTTAAAACTTGACAGTTTTACGTTTTTAATCACATGGTGTAAATACCTAGCCATTAGCTACGGAAAAACTAAGAAGTTATACATTGTTTTATTTAATGCATATTAAATAGAAGTATTCTAGGTAATAATAATTCTGAATGGATTTTCAAATTTATCAAACGCCYTGAGTTTCAAGAAATTCGAATAGTTGAGACAGTTTGTTAGAAATTTGTACTCAAAAACGATAAAAACGAATACCTACTTATAATTTGAACATTTCAAACAGTTCGAGAAAAATCAAGTTCAATGTCAATACTATTTTAATATATTACATACAACTTAAATAAGTTATTTCAAATTATTACTTTAGGTTGAATGGAAAACAATGAGGGTGAATTCTAGAATGTTGATACTTTTGTTAATCTTCTCATTAGTCGTTTGCTGCACATTTTCAGAATTTACTGGTAAGTAATTTTGTGTAATCAAATTGTTGTGTTATAATTTAAAATATGTACTGCACGTATCCTAAGGCTATCAAAGTAAAATAAATAATAATTTAAGATTAAGTTCTTACTATATAAAAATTATGTATAGAGGAACAAGTTACAGGTACATGCTTAGGTACCTACTTATAAGTTATAACTATTAAGATTATGTAACAGTGGAATTTGTTGTCTCCGTCTTACCAGTGCGTAATATAGCAAATTTACGCTCAGAAGAACACTTGTAGCTCCTTTAGATTAAAAATTACAGTGAATCGACCTATTATAAAACTTGATGGTAAGAACATTATCTGTGTTTGTACGTTGGTTTTTTACGATAATTCAATTTTTAAGTGAGTTATGAGCATATAATATACAGTACATTAAAAATGCTCATAGCTCATTTAAAAATTGAATTATCGTAAAAAACCAACGTACAAACACAGATAATGTTCTTACCATCAAGTTTTATAATAGGTCGATTCACTGCAATATTTAAACTAAAGGAGCTACAAGTGTTCTGCTGAGCATAAATTTGCCATATTACGCACTGGTAAGGCGGAGACAACAAATATCACTGTTACGTACTCTTAACCTATTTCTTTAAACGTTATTGTAATAACTAATAATCTAATAACTGTATAAGTAATAACTACTAATACATATATATATATTATATTATATATATATAAAGTACTAATAAATATTAAATACCATGCCACCTAAACCTAAAAAAGTACAAATATGCACTTATTTTTTTTTACTTACAAATTTCATGAATACGCATATTTTAAAAWTTTTTGTAAATATTTATTCATTAAAACGGGAAATTATTGTAAGTCATCTGACAACTATACATASAGATTTGAAAAACATACCTAATAGGTAGGCCCGGTAGGGTATAACAAAAACATAACAGGTACCTACCTTACTAAGTGAAAATCATRGCTTAAACATATAAGATTATAGCGCATAGGCCTATATTATTATCAAATAAAATAAAATGGTAGCATAAGAATATATATGCGCAGTCTATGACTTAAGTTAAGGTTCTCAACACTGTTTGCGCTGCAATTTTTATGATTTAAAGACCAAATGACAAAATAATACAGTGCGTGTACTATATTGCAATACTAGTATATTATATCGTGTCTCGTGGCATGGTGAAAACTCTCAAAACAAATATACATTAATAATTTATAACTTATAAAAATATTAAAAATATAAACATAGGTATAAATAAAATATATTACAATCGTTTTAACTTTAAAAAAATAACTAAAACATAAAGAGTTAAACATAGGTATAAATAAAATATATTACAATCGTTTTAACTTTAAAAAAATAACTAAAACATAAAGAGTTAAACATAGGTATAAATAAATTACAAGTTAAATAAATATAATTAACAATACATTATAAGTAATGTAATTTTTTCAAAAATGGTTAAATTAAGAAATATACTCATAAAACTACAAAATCACTAAATATAAAATAATATACAATAATATGGGCTTTTAGTTTATAAAAGTTTGTAACTTTTAATTTTTTTTATTCTTATTATTATGCAAGTAATTTTAAACTTACTTAGCAATAAACCTAATAGCTCCCAAATGACCAAATAACAAGCAAATACATCAACTTAATAGCCCTGGGCTATATAACTTATATTAAATTAAATACGCTTGCCTACGCATTAGTTTTTTCAGAAAAAGAATGTAGCAAAAACGAATTCAACTGTGGGAACGGTACTTGTATAAACAAGACCAGACTTTGTGACGGCATTGATGACTGTAGGGAAAATGGCGCTGACGAAGATGATTGTAGTACGTTGGAGATAATATTATTGTTCCTATAAACTGTTGCGTTGCATATTTTAAAATACCTATCATATAATTATAAACATACATTTAGGTTTTGGAAAAAAGTCTTGCCTGGCATCTGAATTCTTTGAATGTATTGGTGACGGAAAATGTATTCCTAAAGAATTTGTGTGTGATAAGTCAGTTGATTGCATCGACAAGTCTGACGAAAGTCATTGTAAAGAAGTATGTACTATATTATTCTAATTCAATGTTAAGAAAAATAATCGCACATTTTGTTGCATTATTTTATAGACGTCATCATCTCTAACGCAGTCATGTCGCGAAGGACAATTCAAATGCTCTGATGGAATTTGCATTCCAATGGCCTGGCATTGTGACACGGAGATTGATTGYCAGGATGGTAGCGACGAAGATGGAGAAAAATGTAGATACACGGTACGAATATTTTCCTTTTTTAAAAACCTATTTTCACATGACCACTTCACTTGTTATTTTATTCATATTTGGTACATTTTGAACCACAGGCATTGTGTACTTCTGGTTATCTGTGCAAAAACTTCAATTGCGTTTCTAAGACGTGGAGATGTAATGGAAAAGATGATTGTGGAGACGGTTCAGACGAAACCCATTGTGGTATATAAAAGTTACCATCGTAATTATTATCTTTTTTTTTATTATTTTGTTATCTTCTTTTATTTCAGATATTCAACTGATTGAGCCAGAAAATTGTTTATTAGAAAATCGTCAATTTCTATGTCACGATCATAAAAAATGTATCGATGTCAAAAATGTCTGTGATTACAACAATGACTGTCTTGATACATCAGACGAAGGCGGCCTTTGCAAYAATAAAACTGGTATTTATACTTAATGAGGATAAAATAATATTTTGAAAAATAACACAAATTCATATTTAACAAAATTATTTTTGATTCAACCCAGTATTATCAATAATGTTGAATAATTTAAGAAAGTAAAAAAAATATTGGGAAATTTATTTTAATTTAGTTTTTCATTTCGTAAACAAATTCGTATTTTCAAAACTTAACCGTATGTTTAAATTTCTAATTATAATGTAAAATTAGTAGATGTAATTTAAAGATTTATTTAAACGATCAGTATATCATAATAAGTTACTTTTGGGTTATTATTATATTGACTACATCCAATTACAAAAAAAAAAAATCACTTAATGAATTGGGTCCAATAGGGTAGGGGCTTACATAGAATTTATATATTATTTAAATCACTTATCATGACATTGTACTGAAACTTTTTAGAATTTGTTAATTTTTAGTTATTTCTTATTTTTTTTAAAAATAAAACTAGTATTTTTGCTTTATTTTTAAATACGCTGTTAAAATTAAACGCTTTGAATCTATAAACTATAAAATTTTTACGACTTACCTTCATTTAAATAATCCATAATGCAAATAGTTTATTGAAGGAAAAACTCTTAAAACTATAATTTGACAATTGTGTTCACAATATCGCCAAAACTAAGTACCTACCTGGCACATGTCTGATAACAAATTTTTACATGATATTTATGAATTTTCCATTCGTAATCAAATGTTGATTTTGTTAATCACCGTTTTTATCTACAGCAGACTACCTATACAGTTTACTTATTATCTTGTTTAAGTGATCCCCAAAAAAACCCAAATCTTCTTTTACAATCATCAAAAAAATTTCGGCAAGCTATAATAATTACTTTTCAGACCACTGAGCGCAACTCGGGTTTATTATCTTTCTGTCATTCATAATATTAAATAGGTATATCAGCAAAAAACGTACCAAAAGTAAATAATAACAAATAGTAATTATATAAGTGACAGTTTTTAATTTTTTAATTTAAGCAACAACAATTAATTTCAAAAAAGTAGGTATTTATTTGTATACTACAATGAAACATAATATTTAATATTAAGTTGTCGGCATATAAAATAATAACATAAATACTAAATATAAATTAATCTTTAAGTCGAATTACGATAAACAAAACGTACCAAGGTACAAAGACCCTCTGTAGTTGTAAACAAATTGATGCTGTATCGGTTTGATTATTAATTTTTACATAGCACATGGCTAGGTACCATTATTACCTGGTAGGACCAGGTATTACTTCTAGTAATACTGTAATAGTACATTTTATCCAGGAACAGTCAAATTGTCAAATTATTAACGTGATATATTTTATATTACATTATCATAGATGGCAGTGAGATATATTAGCATCTACCCAGGAATTTTTCAAAGGGGGTCCAACTTTTTTTGAATAATATATAAAAAGTATAAAAAGTATAAAAAAATTATTCCATTAAAAAACAAACATTTTGATTCTTTGACTCTTTAATTGGTAAAATAATTAATAAATAAGTATAACACTAAAATCGTACGATTAAATGAATTATATTATTCAGATTGCAGTTATTGTTTGCTTGTTAAGAATTTTAATATTTTAAGGTCTGACATTAATAATGATTAATGGAAATTACTAATCAGGGTCTCGACACAAACACTCCCCACCTCCTTGAATATGCCCTAGTGTTAATAAACCTGAGTTGCGGGGCTATTACAAACTAATACCTGAAAATGTTTAAGCCCCCCAAGGTCCCAAACAAAAATACTAAGTGCGTGGCCAATAGCTGGCTTAAAGGCGCTTCGAGCTGTGCAGTGTTTATCGATTGCAAAAATAAATACATAATTGGGTCTATAGTTCTTATATCTACCTACCTATTTATATAATAATTCACTGATTCAGATTCATCAATATGCTTACAATCACACATTTGTACTATCTCTGATGTCCCAAAGCTCAAAGTAATACTCGACACCCACTAAATAGATTCAGCAAAAAAAAAAACACAACCCTGATATTCAGTTCCCTGATGTGCGCCTGGTGAGTGGTGACTAGTAAATAAATAGCTACTGCTCGGTGCACGCTCAAGTCATCAGTTACCACCTTGGCGTTACGGACGGTTAACACTAAACAATGTATGTGCATTTGTGTTTTGCATGAAGTACTTTTCATTAATGGACCTGATAATGACATAAGACTTCTGAAAATTGATTTAAGTTTGTTAATAATATATCTTAGTAGGACCAACTAAGTAAATAGTAACTATATAGTGAGTACTCGAGGTCGATCAGGCCACATTTTAAGATATTATTTAATTTGAATTTCAAATAGTTAACATTTAATGGGCTTAGAATCAAAATTTTTAAACAAGTCCCCCGATCGATCTTAAGTAGGCATAATCCTAAATTAAATTCGCTTTTTAAAAATTTAATTGGTTTAATGATAATCGCATTAGGTCCATCGGTATGATTTGCAAAATATTGGTTCATTTTAGTCGAAATAGCTGACTGCAATCCCATAAAGTAAACTTCTTGATATCCTGCAAATAATGCATCGATGACGGCCGTGTGCACCTGCCAGCAATATTTTATATTTCTATAAGTAATAGTTTTTATTCACTTTTGAGATACGGTATCATGGACGGATATTATTTTTTAMAAGTCCAAAGTATTATTAATGTGCTAATGAGAATGCTAAAAATGTATAATTTGCAATCACCATAGTTAACATGTTTAAATTATATGTATTGATAATTCATATTTCAGGTATCAAAAGCGAATGTGATTCTATGAATTGTTCTGCTGCATTTGAATGTTTAAGAAAAMCACATGGTGTCATGTGTGTGTGTCCAAAAGGAATGCATTATTTAAATAATAAATGTTCTGGTAAAACATAAATTAGTTAATATTCAATAAAACTACTTTATTTAAACTACATTTTATATGTACCTAACTAATAGATATTAATGARTGTGAACAATATGGCATTTGTGACCAAGTGTGTCTTAATTTGGAAGGTTCATACACGTGCTCCTGTGATCCACATTATGAACTAGTAGATAATCACAAGTGTAAAATAAAAGGTAATGTTGATAAATAATTGGTACATCATACATCAATAACTCATTAAAATTTAAAATTGGTAGTTTGTTGATTTTGTAAAATTTAATTACAAGCCTTAGTTTGATTTTTTTTATAGTTATTTGATAAATGATAATAATAATATTATGTACTTCACTAACTGAATAATAATATTAGATTAATTTATACAGGTCTAAATCCAGAATTAATATATTCATCACTACGGCAAATAAAAGTTTTTAACTTGGAGTTACTCCGTAGCTTTACTTTGATTAATGATTTGCAACACGTAACTGGATTAGCTGTCGACAAATATACTCTATACTGGACACTTTATTTGGATGGAAACTCAGCTATAGTTAGAGCAAACAAGTCTGAGCCTAATCCTGAAATTATTGTCGACTCGGGTAAATATGTTTAATTGCAATACAAATTTTAAAATTAACGAAGAATTTTTAATTAAGTGTTTTAATACGAATAATATTTCCCTATGTGTGATGTTTRTAGGTCTTGGATCACCTGAGAATCTAGTTGTAGATATTATCACACATAATTTGTACTTCACCGATGCAAAAATGAAACATATAGGGGTGTGTAATGATGATGGTTCAGTATGTACAGTTCTTCACAATAAAAACATTGATAAACCAAGGGCAGTAGCTGTTTCACCACAAGATGGGTATAACATTGAGTTATTTTATAAAACTATAATTAACTTTATAGATACAAATTATTGATCTACATATTTTTTTCCAGTTTCATGTACTGGACAGATTGGGGAAAAAATCCAATGATTGGCCGTTCTGGTATGGATGGGTCAAAACCACAACCATTCGTTACACAAAATATACACTGGCCAAATGGTGTTCATGTTGATTATGTTGGGAAAAGAATTTACTGGGTGGATGCTAAGATGCAATTGATTGAATCCATTAATTTAGACGCAACTGATCGAAGAGTAAGTGTATTTATTTAATTTATATTATATACATATAACATATGACGTATATAAGTACGCACATTTCAATAGGTACTTCAGTACTTGTAATATTTTAACGTGATTTATTTCAATAGGTGCAGAATTTTTAATATTTTAAATATATTATTTAATATTTATTGAATAATAATAATAATATACCGAATTATTAATTTTTAATATTTATATTATTTTATATGGTGAATGGTTGTTAATATTATTCTAGGTAATTGTAACAGAATATGTCGATCATCCATATTCGGTTACCGTGTTTGAGGATAAATTATACTGGAGTGATTGGACAAGTAAAGAAATAAAAGTATGTAACAAGTTTACGGGTAAAGATAGCAGTACGTTGATACGTGAAAATAAAAACCGTGTGTATGGTATGCAAATTAACCATCCTTCGCTATTCGAGTCTCAAGTATTGTATTGTTTTCAATGTAAAACTATTAGTTTTCCACATGGTTTYAATTATTTTCAGATGCCGAATCCTTGTAAACAAGGAAAATGCAGTGATATATGCTTATTAGCACCGAAGACAGAAATCAATCCTAAAGGATATACGTGTGCTTGCCCTGATGATAAACTACTATCGGAGGATGGAATCTTTTGTATCACCATTGACATACCTCCTACGYTTATTGTGAGTACACAAACAAGTATTATAGAAATTGAACAAGAACATTTAGGCCACCAAAAAGCAAAAAAAATATCGTTGAAAAATGATGTGTCTAGCATATCTGCAGTGGCTTATAATTCATTATCTGGTATGTTACTGATACACAATATATTAGGTAGTAAAATTAAGCTAAAATTATTATTTTATTATTACAAGGTGATATCATCATCTATGACTCAAGCTCTAAGAAACTATTCACTTTTGATTTCGTTAAGATGAAATTATCAGATTTAAATGTACCAGAAATTAGTTCTATTCATTCCCTTGAATTTGACAACCATGGAAACAACTTATACTGGTGTGATAGAACTAGAAGAACATTAGATGTGTTAAGTCTCTCTACAAAAGCACATACTACGATTTTCAAAGAAATTGAAGGTCATATCCCGTTTGCAGTTACTTTAGTTCCAGATAAAAGGTACCTAAGTACAGATATTACTGTACAATATTCATAATGCATTAATATTATATTTTTGTGGATTAACTGTATTAAACATTATATATATACATATGCTTTTAGCTTTATGTTTGTAGCTATGAAGGAAGATTCTCATATACATATTGATCGAATTGACATGGATGGAAGTATTCAGTCTCTAGTTCATATGGTGGAATATGGATTGACAGGAGATGAAATTGCTTTACATTTTGATATGGTTACAAGACTGTTGTATTTTACTGACTATAAAAATGGTATTATTGATAGTGTTAGTGAAGATGGTGAGTATAATATAAATTATAATTCAGTTAAATWATTTAACTGTAAAAAATTTATGAGATGAAAAATAAACATTATTTATTCATTAGCTACATTTATTATATTAGGAACGGATAGAAGAATTATAAAAAAAGCAGGATTTGTAAAAGATATTGTTTCAATTGGTTTTGAAATTGTTTGGGTATCTGAAGGTTCAAAAATTTTAAATTGGATTAATAGCGTTGATGGAGACCGAGCATCTAGAGCTCTTGACATAGGTAATTAATTCTATAATTCATTTTATTGGCATAAAAGTAATTTTATAATTATTTTATGTATGTAACAGATGATTGGAAAAGTGATTCAAATTTATTCATAACCGTAGCAAATGGGATTCGCAAAAATATCCAACACTCGTGTCAACAAAATAATGGTGGCTGTAGTCATATATGCCTTTTGTCTGAGAAAGGAAAGGTACAATATTTTTTTAAGGTAATTAATTATAAATATTGTTTTTAACAATTTTAATTTTATGGTAAAACAAGGTTTGTGGTTGTCCACCGGGATTAGTTTTATCAAATAATAGCCTAAATTGTACATCACTAACAGAGTGTAAATCTGAYGAATACCGATGTTTTACTGGTGAATGTATTTCATCTCATTCCCGATGTGATTTAAAAAAAGATTGTCCTCGTGGCGACGACGAAGACGTAGTTAAATGTTTACATTACACACCAAACTTATGTCCTAAATCTCAATTTTTATGTCACGATAAAACAAAATGCTTGGATAAAAAACTTATGTGTGATAGTACAAAAGATTGTCATGATGGTTCAGATGAAATGGATTGCTTACATAAGCACACTTGTGATTCAAGTAATATATTTTAATATTTCATCAGTAATCTAATAGAAATAGAAATTTTACTAATAAACTGACACATTTAATAATATTTTTAGCTACAGAATATCAGTGTACAACTGGAGAGTGTATTCAGCGCATATTTTTATGTGATGGTAATGTGGATTGTGTTAATGGTCAAGATGAATTAAATTGTCTGAGTCAAACTTGTAATAATATCACAGAATTTAGATGTAATTCTGGAAACTGTATACCTGCTACATGGGAGTGTGATGGTGAGGTCGATTGTTTTGATAGTTCGGATGAACACAATTCRTGTGGTAAGGTTTTTTTTATTAAAGAAAAATATTTAAATCTATTCAAATTATGCAATAATTAATATTTATAGCTACAAAAAAATGTAAAGATGATCAATTTTCTTGCACCAATGGTCGGTGTATATCACATAAATTCACTTGTAATGGTAAAGATGACTGTGGTGATAGTTCTGATGAAAATGGTTGTTCGTCAAATCGTGTATTCATGACAAAAAGAGTTTCAAAAGTATGTAATGAAAAAACAGAATTTGAATGTCAAAACTCGAAGGGACATTGTATACCAATCAAGGCTAGGTGCAATGGCACATCTGAGTGTAAATATTTAGAGGACGAATTGAATTGTGGATGTCAAAAATCTAATTTTTTCAATTGTCACAATAAACGTTGTGTATTAAAAGATTGGTTATGTGATAAACACGATGATTGTGGCGATGGCTCAGATGAAAGTCAAATGGCATGTGATATGCTTTCTGAACAATTATCAAATGCAGTTGTTTCATCAAAAGATTGTGATGGATATTTATGTAAGAACCAAGAATGTATTCCTCTAGATCAAGCTTGTAATAAGAAAATTAATTKTAAAGATGGTTCAGACGAAGGAGATCTTTGTGGTAATGCATATATGTTATACTACATTGAGTGAATAGTTCATTGATTAATACAATATTTTTGTTTATTGGACGACCGATAATTATTATGAAATTATAATAAATATTTTTTTATAAAAGGTTTATCTTGTATGCACATGGACTGTAGTCATACTTGTCAAGAAACTCCAAAAGGTGGGAAATGTACCTGTTATCATGGCTATAGACTTGCACAAGATGGTTTAACTTGTAGAGATATTGATGAATGTGAAAATGACAATTTATGTACTCAGTATTGTACAAATTTGGATGGTTCATATAGCTGTAATTGTTTAAATTCTGATTACATTTTGCGTGCAGATAAAAGTTCATGTAAAGCAATTGGCAAGTAATTTGGGTTCATTATAGTAAATTATCAAAAGCAAAAAAATCTGAAGTTAAATAGTATTTTTCTTAATTATTGTTTTTTAGGACCTACAATGGATTTAGTTTTTTCGAGTGTTAATGAAGTTAGAAGTACATCGGGTGATATTAAAGAAACAAATTTACTTTTTTCGATGCCAGGAATGACAGTWTCAAGTCTTGATATAAACATTAGAARAAATCTTATTTATTGGACATCAAGTAATTAAAACATATTTTACAATGTTTAATTTCATTTATATAGAATGRATGGTAACTCTTTCAACAGTGAACCATCGTTATATTTTAAAAGCATTAAAAGTTACATTTTCTTATAAGAAAATTTAAAAAACATGTTTCTAATATTTTTTAATTGCACTGTTGAAATAATTACACAATTAAGTAGTAATTGTCAATGTCAAATGCATTAAATAAATGCCTAATAAATTATTAGGTTTTCAAATTGAAAAAAAAATGGTAAAATAAATAACCRCTCTGCTTTAAAGTGGAAATCAAGTGTAACTTGTAATTTATTAAGTCACTGTAATTTAATGTTAAATTTAAATGCTATTACAAATCATTCACCATTGCATACTAAAACGATTCTGAGAGAATACAGTCTTATATTAGAAGTATCAAGCATCTGCAAATAATATTTTTAAATTCCAACAAAATAACAAAAATTGTTATTCTTTATTTAAATACCTTTCTAATTTGTAAAAATCTTAAAATGTCTATACAAAATTCTGTTTATATTAATAAATTACGTGCATTGCGCCAGCCACACCCATTAAAAAATGTTGGACAATTTTTATGTCAAAATTTAGTACGCGATTGGCATGAATTTGCACGATTAAATTTAGAAWTCGCRCGGTATTATATTAGCTGGAAAATGATGAATACWTTGGGCGCGGCTGGTGAAACGTTGCGTTTTCTACAATTTCGAAAAAGCTTTTTGCTAGCATTTAACASSMTWTTAGCATGAATCCGTATGTCACTCTTTACCTGAGAAAAAAAAAATTTTAAAAAACTGAAGAATTTGTAAATTTTCAATTAAATACATTTTGTTGAAATTTGATCTTTAAATGGTTAAAAAAAAAGTGCCCATATATTTTTAATATTTTTCAATTGCTATTWTATCAATTTATGGGGAACCTTGTATTAAATTTTCATATGTTTTGATCCGGCGGATAAAATTCTATTGGCA